GATTCTACTGAAAACTTTTATTATAAAATCAAGAAAATTAAAAATAAGCTGATTAAAACAAAGAGACAGAAACTGCAGAGTCCCCACATGAGATCCCTCCTGGGGCCTTGCCTTCCAAGGGGAGACCCATTGGGGCCTTGCTTAACAATGAGCCCTTCATGCTTAGGGTCCTCCGCATGGCCTCTGCCACGACAGGGTTGTATTCTTTCACCATACTTATTCAACCCGTATGCTGAGGAAATAATCCAAGAAGCTGGGTTCTATGAAGAAAAACATGGCATCAGGATTGGAGGAAGACTCATTAACAACCTGCGGTGTGCAGATGATACAACCTTACTTGCTGAAAGTAAAAAGGGCTTAAAACATTTACTGATGAAAATCAAAGAGCACAGCCTTTGGTATGGATTGCATCTCAGTGTAAAGAAAACAAAAATCCTCATCACTGGACCAATAAACAAAATTCTTATCAATGGAGAAAAGATTGAAGTTGTCAAGGACTTTATTCTTCTTCGATCAACTATCAACACTCATGGAAGCAGCAGTCAAGAAATCAAATGTTGCATTGCATTAGGCAAATCTGCTGCACAAGACATTTTTAAAGCATTGAAGAGCAAAGATGTCAGCTTGAGGACTAACGTGCACCTGACCCAAGTCATAGTATTTTCAATAACCTCATATGGATGAGAAAGCTGGACAGTGAATAAGGAAGACCATAGAAGAATTGATGCTTTTGAGTTATGGTGTTGGAGGAGAATAGTGAAAGTGCCATGGGCTACCAAAAGAACTAACAGATGTGTGTTTGGAAGAAGTGCAGCCAGAGTGCTCCTTGGAGGCCAAGATGGCCAAACTTTGTCTCTCATTCTTCAGACATATTGTCAGGAGGGACCAATCGTTGGAGTAGGATGTCATGTTTGGTAAGGTGGAGGGTCAGAGAAAAAGAGGAAGACCCCCAGTGAGATGGATTGGCCAAGTGGCATCGATGGACTCAAGCGTGACATCAGTAGTGAGGTTGGCCCAGGATCGGGCAGTGTTTCATTCTGCTGTGCATAAGGTCGCTATGGGTCGGTACTGACTAGATGGTACCTAACAACAACAACAAGTATGTAAATTTGCAAGAATTGGTGCTGGATTGAATGTGGAGGGTTAAGCTGAAGGATGAGTACCAGTCTTTGAATTTGAGCAACTGGGTGGATGACATCAGACTAAGTTATGCACTAGCCCTCTTTGTCATACTTATCTTCCAATCACAGTTCCTACATAACAGATGTGCTGGATTGCAAGGTTGGTTTGAATCAAAAGGTCGCTGGTTCAAGCTCACCAGCTGCTCCTCAAAAACCCTATACAGGGTCGCTATGAGTTGGAACCAACTCCATGGCACATCACAGAAACAACATATATACATATAGACACCACCTTAATGAAAATAAACAATATTTTCATCAGCTCAGAAAGTTATCTTTTGTCTCTTAACACTCAATCTTCCCCATGTCTTCCTGCATCCACTGATTTGATGTGTGTCAGGATAAACTAGTTTGCATTTTATAGACTTTTCTACGAATAGAATCATCAGTATGTACTCTTTTTTCGCCTGACTTCTTTCACTTAGTATAACTATTTAGAGACTCACCATGTCATCAATAGCTCATTCCTTCTTATGGCTGAAGTATTGCATTGTATGGATGTACCAAAGGAACCAACCCAAGGATAATAATTGGGTTGTTTCCATTTTTTGACAACCATGAATAAAGTTACTATAAATATAAACATGAGTATTCAAATCTTTGTATGGTTATATGCTTTCATTTCTCTTGGGTAAATACTTAAGAGTGGAATCTCTGTGTCTCATGATAAGTGCATATTTAACTTTGTCAAACTCTTCTTCAAAGGAGTTGTACCATTTCACACTGCCACCAGCACTTGGCATGGTAAGTCATTTTCATTGCAGCCATTCTAATGTGTGAACGGTGCTTTCTCATGGTGGTTTTAATTTGCAATTCCCTGCTGACTAATGATGTTGAGCATCTTTTCACGTCCTTGTTTACAATCTGTATACATTCCTTTATGAAACGTCTGTTCAAATCTCTTACCTACTTTTAAAGTAAGGTAGCTTGATTTGTTATGGTGTTGTAAGAGTTCTTTGTTTATATAGTGTATAAATGTTGGATACAAAATATCTTTCATTTTCTTAGCAGTTCTCTTGAAAAGCAGATTGTAACTTTAATATAGCCCAATGTATCAAAATCTTCTTTTCTCTTTTCTTTTCTTCACTCTGAGTCCAGTCATGACGGCCTACTGTCGGTTCTTTAGACATGACATGCTCAAGCCCTCTGTTTACAATGTTCTCCTCATGTCCATTCACCTAGTTAAGTCTTACTCATCCTTCGAACTCGGTTCAAATGCCATTTCCTCAGGAAGGACCTTGCCCGACAGACCCTGCCTAGATTAAGTACCTCTGTTACATACTTTTATAAGTTGCACTTCCTTCAAAGTATTTCTCTCATTTTATAACTAAGACTCTATTTGGGGAAGTATTTGTTTCGTTTAATATCTGGCATTACTTAGCATTATCTTTTTAGCTTCAGAATAAGCAGTGGACTGCTCATGAAGAGGTTAACAATTCAAACCCACCAGCCAGCCACTCCTTGGAAACACTATTCAGAGCCACTATGAGTCAGAAGCAACTCAACTGCGCTTAAAAACAACACATGTTAAACACATCATAACTATTTATTCAGTGAATACTCATTAATGAGTGAGTGGACAAATGAAAAATAGGTTCACAGATAAATTCCAGTATATAAAAAATTGAAATGCAGTCTTTGACAAAGCTATTACATTCAATTATTGAGAGAAACATTTGAATGAACGGTGCTAGGACAATTTCTAAATATTTTTAGAAAGAAAGAAAAGGAGAGAGAGAGAGAAATAAAAGAAAACTAAAACTGGAGTCCAAAGACACCCCTTACACCAAGAGAAATCCCACAGATCAAACAAATGCTAAAATGAAACCATCAAGTTACTAGAATAAAATAGGACTGAAGACCTTTGTGATAAAACAAAACAAAGAAACTCTGTTTTTGTAATGTTTATGTATAAAAGTTCTTTCTAAACACCCCCAAAATGAAAAGAATGCATAAAGAATGATAGATATTCTGTTTTTAAAATTACATATAACATGCATCATTTAGTATATAAATAATTTTCCACATTAATAAACACAAGAAATAATTACTTCAATAGAAAAACGGAAGATTGACATGAACAAAATAATTCAGGAAGGAAATTTGGCAGGATCTATCAAATTGCAAAATGTGTATAATATTTATAATTCTCATTTGAAAGAATACATTTAAAGCATAATCTGTGAAATGGAAGAAATCCTATGCCCAGAAATGTTTGTTGCAGTAGTATGTATAATAGAAAATTTTTTTAGGGTATACTAAATTTCCATCAATAAAGGAAGTGTTACATTAATGCTATTAGCATGTTCGTTTTATTATTATTGTTTGCTCGACATATCGATAATTTTATACATAAGAGATTATTGCATTCAATTATCTCTTTCTGACTGTAAATTGTAGAATCTGTGAGAGTAAAGCCTTCTTACTGTGTCCCCAGCAACTAGCTCTGTTCCCAGTAGGCACTCATATATTTGTTGAATGACTGTGTGCCTGACTGACTGAATGAATGAACTAAGGCTTTTCTTTATCTTAATAGGCTGGAAGTGATGGGGAGAGTATTGGAAACTGTCCCTTTTGCCAACGTCTTTTCATGGTCCTCTGGCTTAAAGGCGTTCAATTCAATGTGACTACTGTTGACATGACCAGGTAAGAGAAATCAGGACATATTTAATTCTAGGGACTGTTTGTACAATGTGTACTTTATCTGTAGGCCTAACGCTGTTTATTTTCAATAATCATAGAAAGCCGGAAGAGCTGAAGGACTTAGCCCCAGGTACCAACCCTCCCTTCCTGGTGTATGACAAGGAGTTGAAAACCGACTTCATTAAAATTGAGGAGTTTCTAGAGCAGACACTGGCTCCTCCAAGGTACAGCATTTTGCAGGATACTTTCGTATTTGAGACAAACTACTTTACTGGCCTATTTATTGCAGATTGGGGATCCAACAATAACTTATTGTTATCGTTTAATACCAGGATTCCGTTTCATGTATGATTGGAAAACCCTACTACAGGATTATTTGTTGAATTTATGTAAATAGTTAGTATATGAGGTGGCTTTAGAAGGTTGGTTTTTGATTGAAAATTCTATACTCTTTCAGTTCCATTTTTCCCTGAATTGTTTGAAGCTCCCTCATATTAGGAAATGGCAAATAATGGGCTTGAAAATCTGGATAAGACTGGTAAATGTGAGCAGCATTTAATTTCAGATACGCTCTCTGATCCATAATGAAGTCTGGAGACATTTATGTTGAAAGGAATCAGACTTACTTTATTGTAGACCTCTCAAAAAAATTCCACCGTGAAAAGCTAACCTTTAATTTAGTACGACCTCTTAGCTCTTCTGATCAATAACCCTAATTTTAACGTTTTTGTGGATCCTGAGCCTACATGTCAAATGAAGCACATGCGTAAACCTTCCCTTCAATTTCAACTACATAGCATACTGGTTAAAAAGAAAGTATATTTTCTGTGGTCTAGAAATTGAGAGAAGAAGTCACAGCGGCCGGAGGATGAAGGGGAAGGGCGAAATGCTTAACGAATGGAAGTGTTCGCACCCTTGTCTGTGCGCCTCAGTTTAGGGTGGTCTGGGCTGGTGTTGCTTGCTGTCTATCATTGATCAGGTATGGTATAAAAGCTGGTATGAGCTCTTCTCTAGTGAGTGGAGCTGCAGACTATGGTTGTGGCTGGGCCAGGTAAAGTTCTGGAAGGTCAGCGAAACGAGAAAGCACCCCAATGAGATGGGTTGGCCCAGTGATAGCAGCCATGATTGTGGGGCTGGTCCAGGACCAGGCAGGGTTTCCTTCTGCTGTGCATAAGATCACTATGAGTCAGCATTGACGCGATGGCACCTAACAACAATCACTCAATAGAAAATAAACGATTGTTGCGCTAAGAGCTGTGCAGTCGGTTCCCACCCATAGCGACCCTGTATAGGGTGTCTGAGGAACGTCTGCTGAGCTTGAACTGACTTTGTAGTCCAGCACATTAACCCACGGCACCACACTGGGACATCAAAAAAGCAATTAGAAACAACAGAAGACAGGACCATATGTTGGGAAACCATGTGTGAAAAAAAGACAATTAGGAATCAATAAATGATCCCGCTAATAAGAATGTTTGTATAAATGTGATTGATATGTTCAAGAAACTAGAGAAAAACATGGTGAAAATAGATGCAAAGGTGGAGACATTCACTGAAGAATTCTTATTGCTGTTAAGTGTCATGGAGTTGGTTCCGACCCATAGTGACCCTGCACAGGGTTTCTGAGGCTGTCAATTTTTACAGGAGCAGAAAGCCTCATCTTTCTCCCACGGAACAGCTGGTAATTTCAAACTGCTGACCTTGAGGTTCACAGTCTGATTTGTAACCACTACACTACCAGAGCTCCTTGTGTATGTAATTATAGTCCCAGAAAAAGAGAATGGGGCAGAATCAACATTCAAAGAGTGGGAGGAAAATGTGGCAAAAAGCTCAAAGTCATAAAACTTATCAGGCTTACTGTTTGCTAGAGACTGGTGGAATGTCTGAGACTGTGGCCCTTCAAACCTGGAACTGAACTCACCCTCTTGGTTCAACTTTTCAGTATAAGCTAGTTCAGCAAGAACAATACCATTAGGGAGGTGTACTCTTTAGAACACTCAACTGTGCAAGGGCCAAGTTCAGAAGGCATGAAGGGTTGGGAAAGGGCTGGGAATACGAACCACAGAGAGGAAGTGGGGTGAGGGATGTTACAATCAATGGCATGAACCAAGATGTGTACAAACTGTTGAATGGAAAACGGATTTGCTCTGTAAACTTTCCCTCAAAACCTAATGAGCTTTTTACAAAAGGCAAAATAAAGATATTTTCAAACAGAGAAAAGCAAATACAGTTCATTATCATTCTTCTTGTAATGTTGTTGTTAAGTGTTGTCAAGTCAATTCTGACTCATAGCGACCTTGTATGGGGTTTTCAAGGAGTAGCTGGTGAGTTTGAAGTGCCGACCTTGTGACTTGCAGGCTAGTGCTGATCCTGTATTAAAAGGTGTATATTTAAACAAGTTCTTCAAGAAGAATAAAAAAACTATTCCACGTGAAAGTATGGATTTGCATTTGCAAAGAGTAATTATTTAAATAAATATCAATGAATATTAACTGTATACTGACTTACAGAACAATGTTTTATGTGGAGTCCTGCTGTGGCACTGTAGGATAAGCACTCGACCCTAAGGTTGATTTGAACCACGAGGACAGTGATTCAGACTCACCAGCCACTCCTCGCAAATCCTATACAGAGTTGCTATGAGTTGGAACTGACTCAATGGCACAAAACAACAAGAACAAACAATGTATGTATCGACTTCTAGCAAGATGTCAGACTAGTCAGACACATTACACAGACCTACTACAACAAAGATACAAGAGACTGAATGAAACAGACATAGATGAAAATTCTGGAAGCCTGAACTTCAGAGGAAAGGTTAGAAAAGTGGGTTGAGTGCTTGCTGGGAGAAGCAGCTGAGCGGGGCTGGAGAGATAGGGAGATTGGTGAATGGCACAACCATCTTGGGAGCAGTTTTGAAAACAGAAGGTGGACTGACAGAGCAGATTCAATGGCAACGGGAAAGGTGAGACACCTTCTTTCTTCCCATGCCCCCCTGGTAACCAGAGGGGTGGCCAGCTCCCACCGTCCTCGAACCCCAGCACAGATCCTGTTCTCTGGGAGTTCTAAGTCATGTGATTGGAAGCCATGCCAGTGTGAGGCAGGGGCCTACTGTGTGCTTTGGGCTTGAGACCTACAGAGCCTGCAGAGCCACCAGGGCAGCTGCCCTGGGGCCCTACCAGCCACTGAAACCAGCTCCATCAAGGGCCTCCACAAACGACTTCCAGATTGAGTGCCCTGAACATAGAGAACACTGAGACCTATAGGAACTCCATCTAGGGCCTGGAACACCCACCTCGTGAGCTCCTTGGCTGGCAGGACCCAACCCACGCCACCACCCTGGTTTCCATTCTGGTCCAACAGCTGCACTGTTTTTCTGTTTTCTTCCATTGTTCTTGTTTATTTCTTCTTTCTCCTTCTTCTATTTCTCATTTCATTACCTTGAATTTTATACTTTCTAGCTCCACTTTTGTTTTTCCTTCTTTTCATCTATTTCTCATTTCCCCTCTTCTTCTCCCCTGCCCCATTCCTGCCTGTTGATGTTTTTACTACTCTCTCTTCCTCTTTTCTTCTTTCCTCTACCTGTTTTTTCTAAATACCTTTTTTCCTGTTATTTCTCTTTTTTTTATTATTCTATAGTGCCATTTACCTGTTCCTTTTTTGTCTTTATACGTATATCCTTTTTTTTTTTCTGGTTACTCCCTGTTTTTTGTTTTCTATTTATTCTTTTCTCTTTTCATTGTTGGTTTGTTGTTTGTTTATTCTGTTTTGTTTTCTTGTGGGGGGAGGGATAGGGTTTTCTCTTTGCTACATGACAGGAAAAAGCAACTGTGTCTAGCCACAACTATATCCTCTGAAAGTCTACCCACTGGGAAAGAGTCCATATCAGCTCCTATACCACCTGAACAACAGCAGCCAGAACCAGCCAAACTCACCCTAAACTGAGATGCATAAACAGCAAACAAAAATGGTGTACATGCTTCCATTCTCTGACTACACCCTCAGGAGAGAGTTGGTAAGAGCCTAAGAACAAATCAACATAAAATCATCAGTTAAATACAAATACAACTATCTCACAATAGCCCAGAGACAACAGATGATTTTAATTCACATGAAGAAATAAGAGAGACTGGCCCAAATAAATGACCAAGATACAGAGCCAAAAAACATTATGAGGAAGAAAGGTAATGGAACTAACTGAAAAAGAATTCTAAAGAATAATATTTAGGTTCCTTCAAGTGATTGACAGAAAGATTGAGGAAAGCAAGGAGTACACAGAAAAAACTTTAGAAGGATTCGGGAAAACATTAAAAGAATTAACAGACAAAATAAATGCAAATTTTGAAACACTACAAAACCTGTGAATATAAATCCTGAAGATTAATTTTAAAATTTCAGAAATGGACAATGCATTGAAAGGGCAAAGGACTAGATTTGAAGCAATGGAAGGCAGAATCAGGGAGCTTGAAGAGAAACCTTCCAATGCTAGAAGAGCAATCAGAACTGGTAGGGAAGGAAAAGTATTCACAGACTAGAGAGCAGACACATGTTAACATGGGTGCTGTTGTTGTTAAATGCCGTGGAGTCAGTTCTGACCCATAGCGACCCTGTATTCACACCCCCCAGCCGCTCCTCAGAAACCCTGGACAGGGTCGCTATGAATTGAACAGACGCGACGGCACTTGATAACAACAGCAAGGGAAGACGAAGTGCTTAGTCCCTCAGGTGTGAGCTTTCCAGATCTGTTTGGAGAACAGCAAGGAGGCCAGAGTCACAAGTGAAGTGTGTGAGGGAGTGTTAGGAAGTAAGGTCAGATCCTGCGAGTCTTTGTAGGTCATTATAACCAATACCAGACGAAACCCAAGGCCTGAGTCAATTCCCATAATGACCTTAAGAGAGTAAAACTACTCCAAAGGTTGTAGTATTGACACAGGATAGACAGTTTGGAAGTTTTGGGCTAGGGCAATGGACAGTGGAGGTGCAGGGAACTAGACAGATTCTGGGCACATTTTTAAAGGTTAACTGGCAGGAGACAGATAGAATGTGGAATTGAACAGAAAGATGCTAAGATGATGCCTGATTTTTTAGCCTGAGTCTTGGGGTGGCGCTGTGGGTTAATGTCAGACTGCAAAGCCATTTGAACTGCAAGCTCCGTGATTCAAGCTCACCAGCTGCTCCTCAGAAACGCTATACAGGGCTGCTATAGATGGGAACCGACTCATAGCGACCCCATGCACAGCAGAATGAAACAATGTCTGATCCTGGGCCAACCCCACCACCGCTGCCACACTCGACGCCATCAGTGATGCCACCTGGCTGATTCATCTCGTTGGGGGTCTTCCTCTTTTTCTCTGACCCTCCATCTTATCCAGCATGACATCCTTCTCCAGCGACTGTTCTCTCATGACAATATGTCCAAAGTATTAGAGACGAAGCTTAGCCATCTTGGCCTCCAAGGAGCACTCTGGCTGCACTTCTTCCAAATAGATCTTTCAGCAGTCCGTGGCACTTTTAGTATTCTCCTCCAACACCACAACTCAAAGGCATCAATTCTTCTGTGGTCTTCCTTATTCACTGTCCAGCTTTCACATCCATATGAGGTTATTGAAAACACCATGGCTTGGGTCAGGCACACCTTAGTCCACAAGCTG